CAAACAGCTATTTATTATTGCAAGAAAATGATGCAAAAAGGTGCTTTCTGATGCTAAACTCCATTATTCTTAGTTCACTAAATCTTGCATCTTATCACAGAATGTAGGCTCTAAAGACCTTTGGAAAATCTTCAACAGCATTATTAACAAGGGTAGATCTAACATTCCATCTCTCATTTATGGGACTGATCTTACTACCTCTCCCAAGGATAAGGCAGAACTATTTGCAAAGAACTTTTCTTCTAATTCCACTCTTGAATCTTATGGACATTCTCTTCCTTCCATTCTAGTCAAACAGGTTGACCCATTGTTAGACATTTAAATCACTCCGGCTTCTGTTGCTTAAGTCATATCTCAATTAAACTCGTCTACAGCTTGCGGTCCATACAACATTCCTGTCACAGTCTTGCAAAATTGTTCTCCAGAACTTTCTTCAATTCTCTCTAAACTATTTAACAAGTGTTTGACTGAGTCTTGTTTTCCTGCTTGTTGGAAAATGGCATCTGTGGTTCCAATATTCAAAAACTCTGGAGAAAATTCTGACCCCTCCAATTATCGTCCGATCAGTCTTTTTTCTGTTATTAGCAAGGTCTTTGAGTCTTTGATCAACAAATTACTCACATCTTATCTTGAGTCAAATAAACTACTGTCAGACAATCAATACGGTTTTTGATCCTCTCGCTCTACGGCCGACTTGCTAACTGCTGTAACTGAAAGATTTTATTGTGCATTAGATGGAGGCGGTGAGGCTAGGGCTAATGCTCTCGACATATCTAAAGCTTTTGACAAAGTTTGGCATGCTGGTCTTCTCCATAAGCTTGTTTCATATAGTGTTTCTGGGAAAGTTTTTGAGATTATCAAATCATTTCTTTCTAACCGGTTTATTAAAGTCATCCTTAAATGCCAACACTCTTCTTTCTTTCCAGTAACTTCTGGGGTTCCCCAAGGTTCCATCCTGGGCCCTGTTTTGTTTCTTATCTACATAAACGATCCTCCTGACAACCTTTCATCTAAAGTAGCTCTTTTTATCTGATGACTCAACTTTGGACTCCTGTCTTGACAAAAAGTCTTCTCTTTTCGATCACCTAGAACAAGCAGCTGATCTTGAATCCGATCTCACTTCAGTAATAGATTGGAGTTCACAGTGGCTTGTGAATTTCAACTCTAAAAAAACCCAGTTGCTTACTGCAAACAACTACCGTAATATGGCCAACATTCCTATATTAATAAATGGCAATCCTCTTACTGAGTCCTCCTCTTTACGTCTTCTTGGATTATCGCTTACTACTGACTCTTCATGGAAACCATATATACAATCGATTGCTAAATTAACTTCTGCTAAGGTTGCTTCTCTTTATCGTGCTCGCCATTTCATTACCTCTGATTCCATTCTCTACCTCTACAAATCTCTTATTCGTCCCTGTATGGAATACTGTTGTCATATTTGGGCTGGTTCTTCTAACGATTCACTTTCTCTTCTTGACAAGGTCCAAAAACGCATTGTAAATGTTATTGGACCTGGACTATCTGCTAAGCTTGAGTCTCTTTCCCATCATCGTAAAGTTGCATCTCTTTCTCTTTTTTACAAATACTATCATAGTCACTGCTCAAAGGAGTTATCACCTCTAGTTCCATCAACTAAAATTCATTCTTGTTTTACTCGTCATTCAGCTAAGTATCATTCGTTTACTGTATCTGTCCCTGCATGCTCTAAAAACTTTTATTCATCTAGTTTTTTTCCCCTCACTTCAATCCTTTGGAACTCTCTCTCCTATCTTCATGTTTTCCTGACTCATACAACCTTCAACTTTTCAAGTCTTCTGTCAACCGTTTCCTTGCTCTATAACTCTGTTCTTTATATATATATATATATATATATATATATATATATATATATATATATATATATATATATATATATATATATATATATATATATATATATATATATATATATATATATATATATATATGGCTTTGTGTTAGAAACCATTGTAAAAAGATTTTGTCTGATGACAAAGCCTATTCTCAGGTCACAGAATTCTGTATTTTATCTAAAAAATTAGACCCCAGAGAACTCTGGAGAATCTTTAACATGTTTATACTAAGGACAAATCTGTTATTCCACTTCTTTTGCATGGTTTAGATTTTATGACCTCACCTAAAGACAAAGTTAAATTATTTGCTAAAAACTTTTCATTAATCTCATCTCTAGATTCCACTAATCACATCCTACCTGATATAGCCAACAAACAGGTTGATCCTTGACATTTGAATCACTCCAGATTCTGTATCTGTAAGTGATTCATGCTTAGACTCTTCTACAGCTTGTAGTCTGGACAACATACCTGTTATATAGCAGAAGTGTTTTCTTGACCTGTCGTATATACTTTCGAAAATATTTAACAGGCGCTTATCAGAGTCTTGTTTTCCAGCTTGCTAGAAAGCAACATCTGTTATTCTTATTTTAAAAAATTCTGAAAAAAGAATCAAGTATTGACAGATGTGGCCTAACACTAATATTCATTCTAATAATAACATTCAATTATTTTGTCCACACTTACTATTAGATTGATATTTTAAAAGTACCCCAAAAAGACTGTGTGCTAAGTGTGGAATGTGTAGAGAGGTTAGAGCCAACTTAAAGTTTGTACAGCTCCTAATCAAGAGATGTAGTAGTATACAAGATCTTTTAATACCATTGGTTTTGAGTTTAGAGAATTATTAATGGTGAGAAGCCAAACAATGTATCTTTTTACATTTTGCTACCTCAGACATATACATTAAGTAAAGTGTGCTTAGACAAGTTCAAAGAATTATTTCTACTTCTAATAGCAAGAAAATTAAAAGAAAATTATACACCACGTAATGTAGTGTTTTTGTCATAGTGCAGCTGTTAATAAAAAAATTTTGTAACTATCTTTTTCTTTTTTTTTTAAAGACTTTTACACTCAAAGTTTGTAATGAAGTAAATATTTATATATTTTTAATGCTACTAACCTCCCAAAGGGAGGATCCACTACAGTTAAGTCCAGGGTGCCACTACAGTTAAGGAGGCTACTTTTTTTAAATTTTTAAATGTGGTTACAAGACTAACTATAGAATTCTGAAATATGAACCTTGAAAAACAAGGCTACACAGTGAAATAAGTTGAGTGCGATACTACTAGAGATGTGGTGGGAATTGAAATCTGAAATTTGTGAAGCGAGCACTCTAACGGCACTAAATTACTACCGCATTTGAACACCACTTACTGTTTTACTATTTAGAATAAAAAGAAACCTACTGGATTGAGCATACAGACAAGTTTTAAAATATGACTTGATTGCTCTTATTTTAAACAAACAAAAACTATGTTAATGATTGTAATGTTAATTTCTGATATATATATATATATATATATATATATATATATATATATATATATATATATATATATATATATATATATATATATATATATATATATATATATATATATATATATATACATATATATATTTTATTTGAGTTTTTCATGCTATATTTTTCTATACAATGTTCTTATATTCAAATATATATTGTTGGCTTAGCATAGGAACAGCCACAAATAGTCATTAAGACTAATCCAAAGTAGTGTCCGTTATTGACCAACATTTTTGCGTACCAAAGAACTACTCAAGCACTGAGTTGGCGGCGGCGGGATTTGAACTCGTATCTTTCAACAGTTCAAATTTTAACTTTTCCTTTGACGCTCTAACCAACTGAGCTATCCTGCCACATTATAAAAATTGATGTCATGTAAATAAAACTAAAAACGTTCAGCAAATATAAAATTGAGATCAAACTTTAAAAAACAAAATCTTTTGCAAGTGTAGAAAAAAGAATGCTTAAAGTACGATGATGTTGATGATGATACAAAAAAAAGTTAGTTAATGTCAATAAAGGTGACCACATGAAAGGAGTTATCGGCTTATTGATTTTATAAGCAAGTAAACGATCATAGTTTATTAAAGAAGATAGACAAAGAAAAGGATAGAAACTTCCTCATTAAATGTTATCCCATGGAGCTCTGTACAAGATTATTAGGTCAAATTTTGAGATAAGTAAATAAGTTAAATTTTTCTTATACTTCTTCGAAGTAATGAACTAATAAATTTGTTAGCACATATATTTAATTATGATATTAATGAAAAAAATGGAGTTTTTAGATAGATTAGACATACTTACGCAGTTAAAACAAAACTTGTAAACAATATTTAAGATTATTAATGAAGTAATTTTGATTCTATAATAAAACTTGATTTTTAGGATTATAAAAGATTTTAATTTGTTTATAAGAAAATACTTTACAAGCAAAGCTCGTAAAACTTTATATACAATAAATTAAATTTCATACATTTGTTATTTTTGTTTTAATATACTATGTATAATTACATTAATTATAATTCTAACAAATATTTTAATTCTCCTGTATTGCTTTATACTATCTACTTAACCTAACCACCCATTTAATATATTACAACATATAAGCTAAATACAAATATTTAAAAACTTCAAACTTGTTTTAATTTAAAAAAAAAATTTCCTGAGATTTCCCTGATTTTCTTTTCCTTTCCCTAATTTCACTGATTCTCTTAAATTTTTCAAATGTTTCTTAATTTTTTCTGAGCAGAGAGAACACTGTATTTACAAATTAAGTTTAGATTTTGAAGACAAATATATAAATATGAAATAAAATTTAAAAATATCAATTTTATAATTAAAATTTGAAGCAAAGTAAAGAAAAGTATTTAAAAAAACAAACAAACATAAGTAAAATAAAAATAAACAGAAATAATTCATTTAATTTTTTAATTTAATAAATTTAATGATCTAATTTAATATATAAATTCATACTTTTATAATTAAATTTAAGTTTCAATTTAATTGGAAATAATGATAGCTTAACAAAACACAATTTTTGTTAAAGTATAAGATAACTGAAAAAAGATATAAAAAGAAAATAATTAGATGCTAACCTCCCTCTTGGAACAGGGATTAACGAATTCACGCAAAAAAAATTTTTAAACACTTCAACTAATGCATCACTCCACCAATCGGCACTTGCAGACAGCATACTCAGAACAATTGTTGCCATACTTGTTAAGTGAGCAACTCCATAAACGCAAAGGTTTTCAAATAACATAACAAATTCTTCTTTTGATAAAATACTAAATTCAACTTCATTTTTTATTTTACTAGGAGTTATAAAGTGTAATATTGTTTCTAATAAATGCAGCAAAATAACCTGAGAATTGCTAAATGATGCATCTTCTTGTAATGGCGCATTATTTAAATCATCTGCAAAGTTCCTATTTTGAAGTAAACTCTCAACAGATTGGTTAAATATATTATTACGAAGAAAGTTTAAACTTAACTGCAACTGGCAACCAAGAGCATGATCTTTTTTGAGAGAATTCAAATAAGAACTAAGTCCCTTTGAAAATCTATTTGAACAATCATGTGGGTTTGAAATGGGTTTAAAGCGCTCTATTGTGAATGTGTAACGACAAAATACATCTTCATATTGCTGTAAATAACTTTCTGAATCACCTGGAGAAAGTACATCTTTCTGTAGATATCCATAAAATTGGCCTAGTGGTATTGTTACACTTGAAGATATGCCACCCATAACAAGAATCTGTTTGAATGAATATATATATATATATATATATATATATATATATATATATATATATATATATATATATATATATATATATATATACATATATATACATATATATACATATATATACATATATATATATATATACATATATACATTATGTATATACACACACTTTTTTTTAATAAGTAAATATATATACAGAAATATTTAACTTATACTATTCTTATAACGCTACCTACAAGTTTAAATGTCTGTAACCCAACTTGAGTTTGCAGATTGTATATTTAAAGATTGTTTATATATATGTAATTTAATACAAAGATTGTGTATTTATGTATATATATATATATTATGTATATATATATATATATATATATATATATATATATGTATATATACATATATATATATATATATATATATATATATATATATATATATATATATATATATATATATATATATATAATATATATATATATATATATATATATATATATATATATATATATATATATATATATAAATCTGTTTAAATTGATTTCATAATACAATTTATTTTAACAACTTTAGTAAGTAGAAAAATACATGTTTTACATATATAGGTAAATGGAAACCATCTAGGCTAAAATCAAATTGGTGATTGTGGTTTAAGCAGTATCCATTTACAATAAGTAATTTATATATGTATGTGTATTTATATTTAAATAAATAAATAAATAAATATATATATATATATATATATATATATATATATATATATATATATATATATATATATATATATATATATATATATATATGTGTGTAATTATACAACCTTTGGAATTAGGAAAAATAAGGTTGGAAATAATTTGCTGACCTCAATCTTTTTAAGGTCAGCATCAGGTCACAAAAATTATTTGATTCAAAGGTCTAACGATAAAACATAGAAATGAGGTCGGCCAATTTTTGACGACCTCAAATACTTTCAGGTTGGCAGTTAGGTCAGCATTGCCGAATAGGGTTATATATATATATATATATATATATATATATATATATATATATATATATATATATATATATATATATATATATATATATATATATATATATATATATATATATATATATTTATATAATTTTATAGTTATTACAGAAGCAACACATGGCGACATTCAAGCCTAGCGATAGTAGCATTCAGAAGAACAAGGATGTCCGGACCAATAATCTGGTAAAATTTGAAGACTCTCATAAAAGAAGAATGTTCCCTTTAGAAGAATATTTACTGGAGGAAAAGTGCAGAATGCCTCCCCAAAAGCAAATTATCGGACGCTACAATTCCTTGAACCAAAAATCAAAGGAAGAAAGGAGCGAATAGCAGAAATTTCCAAAAAAGTCATCAAATTGTAGAAGAATAAACTGAATTTTCCTCAAGTATCTGATCAAGCAGGCTTTCACAGGAAGGCGTGCAATTGTATGTGTTTAAATGACTACGCAAAAAATAATATGTTTTAACGATTTGACCACAGCTTTTGATATTTTCAAAATTTAAAAATACGCAACAAAAACTTACCTAAACTTATCTAAAAAAAAAAAAATTGTAAAAAGAAAAAAAATCTTAAGGAAAGAGAAAATAAAAAAAATAGTTAAAGCAAAAACACAAAAAAATAAATATATATATAACCCAACTAAAACAAAACTCATCAAACTAAAATGCTTAGTCTATCTAATTTACGCATTAAAAAAGTATTTCAATCTTTGTTTTAACATTTGTACTTTTTCTATTTTTATTTAACATGTTTCAAAAGATAAAACATTTCTCATAAAAAATATAATTATACAAATTAAAAAAAACAACAGTTTATTAATACTTATTTTAAAAATTAATTAGAAGTGTTTTGTTACTTCATTGAAAAGTGTTTCAACAATATAAAAGCATTAAAGATCAACTTTAATGGTAATGGCTTTCTAATACTTTTTTTTTTAACAAAATTTTGTTTAATACATTTCAAGACAAAAGTCAATACATTTAAAAAATCTTTTTAAATGTATTGACTTAAATTATTCTTATATTAAAATTCGTTAAAGAGACTTTCGTAGTTGTAGAAAGTCATCTTTTTATAAAAAAGAAACAATTTTTTATTTTTTAATAATGGTTATTATAGAAATGCACACTTAAACAGTTTATATTATAAATTAAAAAAATATATACAATCGTCAGCTATATTTAAAAAAAAAACCATTATCAGTAAATTGTTACGTTATTTAAAAGAATTTTTCATTTAGCGCGTTTTTAAAATGTTTTCCGAATTAACGTGGCCAAATCGTCATAGCAAAATGTCATTTGCCTGGTCATATAAAGACATGCTATCGCACACCTTCCTGTGAAAGTCTACTGATCAAGTTATACGAGCAAAACTTGAAAAAGTTATGAAATGTTATGATGAATGTGGGGAAGCTAAAAACCCCTTGATGAAAATTTTGATATTACTAAAGTGGATGGAGCATGGTTATCTTCCGAGGACAAGCAATTGTACCATCTCCAAGTGGAAAGCAAAGGAACAGTGGGATACTCTACAGGCCAAGCGGCCAGTAAAGAAACAATCCTCTAAAAGACAAAAACTTTCTAATGAGTCCTCCAACTCATCATCTTACTATCCTGGTTTTAGCGATTCTGACTCAGAGGCTGACAACAGTGAATATGAAAACAATGAAGAAGATTAGACAACTCTTAAACTAAGCAGAAAACATCATAAAAGCAAAATTGCAGTCAACTTGGTGACCTCCACAAGAGTATCAACAAACAAAGTTGCTAACATATGCAAGCAATTGGCTAGTGAAGGCTTGGACATCCCAACTCCGTGTCAATCAGCTATTTACAAGTCAACAATCAAAGAGGCAATCAAGCTGAAGGAAGAAATCATTGAAAAGTTGCATATGGAAAGTTGGTCCTTACGCTTTGATGGCAAGCACATAGACAGAATGGATTACAAAGTGGTCAACTTTAAAAATGAAAGAAGAGAAATCAAATTGGATGTCCTTGGCTTGGTAGATGGCAGGGCTTTAACTACTGCTCAAGGTATTTCTAAAAACCTCAATGAATTTCACCTATGGAATTCAACGCAGATGTTTTTTGCAGATACCACCAGCGTTAACACTGGAAAAAAATTGATGTTGTTGTAATATTGCAAGGAATGTTGACAGAGAAATGCATCAACAAACCTCAGTTTATCATTTGTCAACACCATGTATTAGATAGAATCCTCCGTTTGGTGATAGATGAAGAACTTGGAAGTAAAACACAATCGCCAAACATCGAATATCCATTTGTATCTCAACTGTTGAAGGAGTACGGCAACTGAAAACACAGTTTGATAACGGAACAGAAGTAATTCTCGAAACATTAGGCTGGAGAGATAATATGAAATTTTTGTTTTATCTCATTCGAGTGTTCCAATTTTTTGAGGAAAAGGGACATTTTCCATTGATCAAAATATACACCTTTTCAGAAAATACCCAACATCAGCAATGCAAGATGGAATTCCAGAGCTATATTAGTGATCCTGGCCTTCATTTTAATTCCTTTAACAAGGACAGTTCTGCAGAGAGTTATGTCGATTTATATTGTATGGCTGGGCAGACCATTGGTTTACAGACCAACTGTACAACAAAAACGACTTTAATAACTTGGCTGAAATACTGAGTCTATACAAACAGGCTCTTTGAAAATAGAGTCTAGAGATTTTTCAAATAAATATTTGAAAAATCACTAGAAGCAAGAGCCATCCATACTACAGATACCCAGAAGTAATCAATGCGCAGAGTGCGCACTCTGCGCATATAATAGTTCATTTCGCGCTTTTTAAGTAAAAATTCATCAAACTACAGTACAGAAGCATGGGGTTGATAAAAGTCATAACCCTGATATATATATATATATATATATATATATATATACATACATACATACATACATACATATATACATACATACATACATACATACATACATACATACATACATACATACATACATACATACATACATACATACATACATACATACATACATACATACATACATACATACATACATGTGTTTGCTAATAATATGTATTTTAGGCAGACACTTAAAACACAACTTAAATGTAACTATAAAAGAATTTATAAAAAAATATTTGAAAACAATAAATATTTCAAAAATAAAAAATTGGAAAAAAACAAATAAAAAGTAATTACCACAAGTAAATAATGCAATACTTCAAAATTTTTCTGAAATTAAAATCTTTACTATGCGTATGTTCAACTAACTGCTTAAAATTCATTAAATTTTTAGTTAAAATTATTACAATAATTTTTAAACTAAGAATGAGTTATAATATGCAAAACCCAGTCCATGCAACATTTACTAATATCCATAGATCATCCAGGTCATATTTTGAAAATCAGGAAAATTGTTTATATAAAATATCCAGAAAAAATCCGGAATTTGTTTTAGTTGAGTTGCTTTTAATTTTTTTTTTTTTTAACTTTTCATAATTTTCTTATGAGTGACGAGTAAAAAAACATATATATTACAAAAATATACACCTTGAATTGTTTCTATGGAAAATGTTATATATATCTCAACTTGTTTCTCCGTTTCTCCGCGCAGCGGCCTTGTTCGTCAAGGTTCGTGTTTCAGAGTTATAGAGTTGAGAAACGGCTATAACCACAAATAAGTAGCCTCCTCGTCTGTAGTGGCCTTCTTGGGCTTGAGGAGGTGAATTAAAATAAATTTAAAAAAATAATAATAAATACCCAGAAAAAACTAAAAGTTGAAAAAATTTTCAGGAATTCTGGAAATATCCGGAAAAAGATAATTCCTGAATATCTGACTCGTTTAAAATACATTAAAGTTGTCATCATAGAATTAATTTATTTTCATAACTTTAAAGGGATCCCAAACTCCCAACACATGTTGTGTTCATATTAAAGATAATGTTAAAAAAAAAGGTTTGAACCAAATTTTTTTGATTAAAAAT